TATCCTTGGGGCACGCCTTGTTCAAATCAGTGTAGTCCACACACATTCTCCAGGTACCATTCGACTTCTTTACTAACACAACGTTCACAACCCAGTCTGGGAAATAACATTACAGAATGAAACCTGCATCAAGCAACTTTTTAACCTCGGCGGCGGCCGCCTGGCTTCTTTCTTCACCATGGTTCCTTTTTTTTGCCGGACCGGCTTCTTATTCGGATCCACAACCATCTTATGCACTGCCAATTCTGACTGATTCCTTGCATTTCATGAACTTCGAATGCAAAGATGTTTTTGAATTCCTTCAAAAGTTGATGCAAATCTTCACCCAATACTTCAAGAGCAGTCGTCCCTACTTTGACTGTTCGGTCAGGATGAGAGTCGTCCAGGACAACATCTGTGTGCTCGCTAGCCGACTGAGGGCGGAATTCGTCCGACCGCTCCTCTGCCAATGATTGCTATCTTTTTTCTTTTCTCTTGGCCCCCAGTTGAGTAGCCTTTCTTTTCTTGCCGCCTGCCACTTGGGCAGGCGCATGCTCCTTGATGAGTTAAAAGTCAGTTTTTTCACCACTTGGGCCAGCAGCCACCAAAGTGGGTTTAATATCCGAGAGGTAACACTCTGGTGCCATCTTTTAATCTCCCCTTAGGGAGCCGACTGTTCCATCATCCCTCTCAAATTTGAGCAGTATAAGAGAGGGGATAATGACAACTTTAGAGTTGTTCAGGGTGGGTCGTCCCAATATCATGTTGTAGGCCGACAGTTCTTCAACCACTAAGAGACGAACCACCATGGATCTACCCAAACGGATGGGTAGATCCACTCGTCCCACTAGATGTACAACACTTCCTCCAAACCCTACTAAAGGGTGAGATACCGGATGTATGCAGTCAGTTTTGTACTTGAGCTTTGCCAAGCACTTGTTGCTGATGAGATCAGAGGAACTGCCGGTATCTATGAGGATCCGGCCAACTCTTTTGTTGGCCACTTTACATTCAATGACAATGGGGTCATCATGCGGCCCCCTAACACCTCCCAGATCCTCTTCTGTGATGACAATTTCTGGGAATGAACTCTTGGCGGTCCGTCCTTGGTGAACGAAATTAACATCTAACCACCTGATATTTTCTTTGTTTCCCCTGATAGTGGGACCGCCTCTTGAAAAGTCGCCTGCTATAGTGTAGACGACTACATCATCAGTATCATAACTGTCAGCCGAACTGTGATTCTTCTTGGCTGACTGCTTGTGCTTGGGGGGAGCATTCCCCTTGGACTTCTTGACATAGGAGTCAAGGTCGACTTTTTCAGCCGGGCGGTCCAGGTAGCGCATGAGGCTAATACATTCATCGGTTTCATGACCAATATCCTCATGAAAATGACAAAACTTATGTTGGTTTCGATTGCTTGCAAAACCCTTCATGGGGGCCGGCTTCTCGATTAAGATCCGGCTCTTGATTTCTTTGAGGATAGCTTGGCTATCCTTGTTGAACGCATACTTGGGAGAGTATGGTTTGAATTCTTTCTTCTTCTTCTGGGACGGCTGTTCAGAGGAGTCGGTCGCCCAGACTTCTTTTCTCTTTTTCTCATCTTCATTTGCCGACTGCTTTAGTCGGCTTTCTTTTTTGTCAGTCCTCCTTCCGTCCGACTGTTTCCCAGTGTTACAGAGACCGTCGCATGTATATAGGCTTCAGCTTCAATCAATGCTTCTTGGAGAGTCGCAACCCTCTTTCGGACCAAGTCGAACTTAAAGGTCGACCCATCCTTAAGACCTCTGAAAAAATCAGTGTAGGCCTTGTATTTGAATCCTCATCAGGTTAAACCGCCTGATGTAGGAACGAATCCCTCCTTCTCACCCTGCTGAATGGTCCCTAAGTCAAGGGTCGTTTTTTTAGCAGGAATGTTCATAGAAAAATTAGAGGTGAACAAGAAGGCAAGTGTCTTGAAATTATTCTCACAACTAGTCGGCAGGTTGCCAAACCATTGTTGTGCAATTCCCTTGAGAGTGGTTGGGAAGCACTTTCACCAAGTGGGATCATCTAACCCTTGGAGGTACATTAGATTGGTGAACGCCATTAAATGATCTTCTGGGTTAGTAGTGCCATCATAGGCGCCTACTAACACATTCTTCACTTTGGCCGGCTGGGCGGCCTCAATAATTTTCTTGGAGAAGGCGGAGGGATGTTCTCCAAGTCTGAGCAACCGTAGTTGCCAGTCCAATGGTTGGACGTTTCTTGCCGCCTGCCTTCCAAACAAGAGAGGCTCCAAGAAGTATTGTTGTTGCGGTACGTATGGTACATTCGGTACCGACTAATCTTTATGAGATCTGGACCGACGGGAGGTACCGCTTGTCTGACTCTCATAATTTGATTGAGTATACCTCATGGAGGTATTATGCAAACTATCCTGAAAATCTGAAGTAGAGGCCGACTCTGACAGTCGGTCACTCTTCTTCTACTCAAGCATCAACCGAGCATCGGTGTACACTTTCTTCGTCCCATCCGCTTGAACATGACGAATGGGCTTTCTCCTCCCAGTTGACGGGAAGTGAAACTTCGTCCAATCAATCACCGGTGGCCGACTAGCCCCAAGTTTTGGGTAAGGGGTTGCCGCACGATCAGTGACTGACTTCATCCTACCAAAGTGGGAGGATTTTTTAGCCGACTGTTCCTTTGCAGGAACAGGCGTCCTCTTCTTAATCAAATCTTGGATCTCTCCCTTGAACCCCCTCATGAAAGTCATGAGTTCGTTCCTTGTAATGGGAGCAGATCCTTCAGCCGCCTGTTGTTGCTCAGGCGGTTGGCCGGCTAGATTGCTGGGTCCAGCTTGGCAATCTACCCGGTCTTTCCTTTTAGTGTGACGGGTGTGTCGGGCCCTTAGGGTCCCATCTGAGGCCGTGTGAGCCTCAACTTCGACCTCATTTTCAGTATCCTGGTCACTATAGACCTGAGGGTCGTCCATAGGACGCCTCTCGCTCTAATTTGGTACAGAATGTGATTCCATCTCGAAAGTACTCTCCCCACAGACGGCGCCAAAATGTTTCAGGGTCTTTTGATGTCCTGCGGGAGAGTTCAATTCCGGGACTGGTATCCTTGCGCCTGTACCTGCAAAAAAACGGAGACTCCTTGTGGTGGGAGTTCCGCCTCCGACGATCAAGTTAGAACGTGTATGAGGAGTGAATAGTGCGGAAAAGTAAAGGTTGGGAGATCTGGTTCCTCTAGGAGAGGAATGATCAGTGTGTTTAGATTCTCTAGGTGAGAGTAATTAGTTGTTGAATCCCCCGTAATGAGGATTAATTAGAGTATTTATAACCTTGGAAAACGTGTCAAATACTAGTTTTAGGTTAACCTGGAGCTGACTGGGCTTTCCTTGGAAATTGGGCCTTGGTGGCCGTTTGGCCTGTTTGGCATATGGAGGCCACGTGGCATGACACAACTGGTCCATGGTGGATAGATCAACGCTTGACACGTGGCAGGCCTCTATTGGCCCATTTAGCGGACACTTGGCAAAGCCTGAATGGTCCACTTGTCAAATGGTGATTGGTAGGGAAAAATCCCCTAATCAATGAGCTTCTTCCATCAATTTCTGTTTGATGTCCCCACGGTGTTGTGGAACACACCATCTTCCCTTAAAATGAAGTCCACCGTCTTCATCAATGGTGAAATCCGATACCTGCCCTTCACCCATTTTCTCTTTTATATTCTTCAATTTTTTATCCTCCGACTGACTGTTCTTAATTTCCTCGAAAATTGATGGTCGTATAATCAAAGCGTTCAACATCCGACTGACTTATCCTTGCTCTACTACCTCCAAACTCATCTTTTGGAACTCGATACACAGTTGGTCCGGCAATATCATCGCATATATCGAGTGTCTTGACTTCCTACTTAAGGCGTCTGCCACTACATTAGCCTACCCTCATGGTACTAGATTAGCAGCTCATAATCCTTGATGAATTCTCACGTAACCACCTTCTCTGTCTATTGTTCAATTCCTTTTGGGTGAAGATATACTTTAGGCTCTTGTGGTTAGTTAAAATTTTACAAGTCACTCCATACAAGTAATGTCTCCAAATCTTCAAGGCAAACACTATGGCAGCAAGTTCCAAGTCATAGGTTGGGTAATTCTGCTCATACGTCTTCAGCTGTCTTGAGGCATAAGTAATTAGTCTCCTAGCTTGCATCAAAACACATCCTAACCCAAACTTTGACGCATCGTTGTACACCTCATACTCCTTACTCTCATCAGGTAATTCTAACACAGGGGTTGTTGTCAATTTTTCTTTCAGGGTTTGAAATTCTTCCTCACACTCAGGAGACCAAATGAACTTACATTCCTTTTTCATCAAGTTGGTCATCGGTCTTGCTATTTTCGGAAAGTCCTTAATAAACCTCTAATAATACCCGGCCAATCCTATGAAACTTTTTACCTCTGACACATTCCTTGGGGTTGGCCACTCCTGTACAGCTTGCACCTTAGCTGGGTCAACTGAGACTCCTTCCTTAGAGATCACATGCCCCAAAAAGGAAACTTTCTCTAACCAGAACTCACACTTAGAGAGTTTAGCATATAACTGATGCTCCCTTAACAACTGTAACACTTTCCTCAAATGGTCTTCATGGTCCTCCTTATTGTTTGAGTAAACCATAATGTCATCAATAAATACCACTACAAACTAGTCCAGATAGTGTCGGAAGATTCGATGCATCAGATCCATGAACACTGCCGGTGCATTCGTTAACCCAAACGGCATTACTGTAAACTCATAATGGCCATAACGGGTCCTAAAAGCAGTCTTAGGAATATCTTGCTCTGCAATCCTTAACTGGTGATAACCTGACCTCAAATCTATTTTCGAGAATGTTCCTGCTCCCTTTAACTGGTCAAACAAATTATCAATCCGGGGTAGTGGGTATTTTTTCTTCACGGTGACATTATTCAACTCACGGTAATCAATACATAATCTTAAACTCCCATCCTTTTTCTTCACAAACAGTACTAGAGCTCCCTAGGGTGTGGAACTGGGTCTAATGTATCCCTTTTCAAGCAAATCCTCCAATTGGGCCTTTAGTTCTTTCATTTTATCTGGGGCCATCCTGTATGGAGCCTTGGAAATAGGTCCAGTTCCGGGGACCAAGTCAATCGTGAATTCCACATCTCTTTCTGGTGGCGTGCCTGGTATTTCATCGGGAAATACATCGGGAAATTCTTCCACAACAGGTAATTTTGTATCACTCTTTTCTTCTTCATCCCTTATCTCTTGGAGGCTACACATGAATAACAGATACCCTTTCTTTAGACACTTCTGAAGTTGTATCGCAGAAATAATTCTTATCCCTTGAGTTTTCCCTTCCTTCCTATAAGTCACTCTGGTCTTTGCTGGGCCATAAAGCGTGACTTTATGTGCTACACAATCTATCTAGGCCTTGTACTTTACCAACCAATCCATTCCCACAATCACATCAAGATCTTTGAGATCGAATACAATTAGGTCCGATGGAAACTCTACTTCTGAAATAGTTAGGGGTATATTCCTAAAAAGTCTAGAACACTCCCTAACTTCCCTTGTTGGAATAGCTACATCCAAGGAGACTGACTCTGGACTTTCTAACTGGAGACTTTCTATTACTGCCTTAGAAATAAAAGAGTGCGATGCACCCGAATCAAATAAAACTTTCACAGATAAAGAACGTAAAAGAAAAGTGCCAATTACCACATTATAGGAAGTCTCAGCTTCACGGCTATTCATTACGAAAATCCGGCCCTTAGAAGTATTTCCACCATTGCTGATTTCAGTGTTCTGGGCAGGTCCACTAGATTGTGGGGGTTTTGGGGGATTCCGTCCATCCTGAACCTTTCCATTCTTCAAATCTGCTTCCTTCTTGAAACACTTGTATTCTCGGTGTCCCAATTTTTGGCAGTATCGACATGTCACTTTATTACCTGCACAATCCTTCCCCGGGTGATCCTTCCCACATCTTGTACAGAAGTAACTTCTCTTAGTTCTATCCTTTTTCTCTCTATTCTCATCACCCTGGTTCGAGTTTCTCCGAAAATTCCCTTTAAAGTCCTTCTTATCCCCATGGTTCCCATTCCCAAAACTCGCATGGTTCTTAGGCCTCTTATCGTTCCCTTGGGGTTGATCGTTGGACTTCCTTTTCTCCCCTGACATGCTCCCTAGCTCTCTTCCTTTGATCCCGTACAAATGGGCAGCTCGGCCATACACCTCATTTAGACTCTCAAAGGTTGCCCCACCCAGTCTTCCTTGCAGATTCCAAGTTAACCCCTGTTCGAACCTTTGGGCTTTGATAGCCTCTATTGGTACTACTTCCGGTGCAAACCTCATCAACTCTATGAACTTAGAATAGTACTCACTCAGAGTCATAGTTCCCATCCTTAAGTTAGTGAACTCCATACATTTTTGTTTCCTCAAATGGTCAGGATAAAACTTTTTCCTCAAGGCTACCTTAAAATCCTCCCAGCCAAAATTAAGGTCTTTCATCAATTCCTCTTTCTTTTGCGTCCACCATAAGTCAGCTTCTTCTTTTAGATAGTAAGCACCATTACTAACTTTCATATCGTCTGGACACTTGATTGCATCAAACAACTTATCGAACTCTCGGATCTAGTTTTCAAGGCTAGCTGGGTCCTCTTTTCCTAAGAAAAAGGGTGGTTTGGCTGCAGCTACTCCCTTAAAGTCTTCACCAAAAGTGTCCCCATTTCCTGAACCCTTCCCTTGGCTTGCTACTTGGGTAATGTTTTCAGCAAGATGGATTAGTTTCTTAAGGACCTTGCCCATATTGGAACCAGCTTTCTTACTCTTTAACTTTAAAGACATATCTTTCCTGATGTTCACATTTGATAGAAAGAAAGAAAATTAAAATTTATTCGTACACATAAACATAGAAGAGATCAAGCAAATACTTTATTATTATTACTAATTAATATTCAAAGTACAATTCATTGTGCATAAATTTATTGAAATAAGTCATAACATAGATCATTTATTTGAACCCTTCTCTTCCACTAGATCGAACTCTGGATCTTCATTGTTAGCCTTCTTATTACCATTGGGTTCCTTCAAGTAGGTTGGTACATAATCACTGTAATTTGGGGTTTGGCCTGACTTTGGGTTAAGGTTTCCCTGAGGGTTAGGGTTGTTGGGTTGTGGAGAAGGTGGAGAGTTGGAGCTAGAAGATGATGAAAAGTCATGAATTCTAGGCCTTTTTGGAATTTGGGCTTTGGTTCGAGGTTTTGGGTGCTCACATGAAGTAGGAACCTTATATTTTGAGAAATGGGAAGGAGAAGGATAGTTCTTACGCCTTCCAAGTGGTGGAATGGATTCATCGTCAGAAGAGTCAAAGTCTTTTTCATACTTTGGGTAAGAGAAGGGGAGTTGGGCGTTTAGGTAGCGAAGTTGGTCAACCTCGGTTAATGTGTGGTGAGATGTAAGATTAGGTGGCTTCAAAAACTTCCTTTTTGGTTCATATTTACGCTCTAGGTAGTGTAAATCATTCTTAAAATGGGTTAAGGTGGCTAACCATCTCCCTTCATGGTGGTGTCTCTCGTTCCAAAGTCCATCATCCTTAACCACATCCCCATACTTCTCAAGAAGAGGATAGTACTTCTTAATCTTGGGTAAGTGGGCTAATGCCAAAAGAACTAGCCAAGGAGTTTGGGTAAAAACTTCAAGGTTGTACTTCTCATAATAGTGTAGAGCTAGCACCGTTATTCCAGTCACAAAATCGCTAACACTGATTGCCTCAGTTTTCAAGTAGTGAATGTTAAAGTACTTCTTCCTAATATCATCCAACATCTATTTAGACAATAATAATTCAATAAGTATTCATATAAACATATCAATGTTCACAAGCATATAAGTTTATCATGCATAGGCCACAAATATGCCCAAAATGTCCTGTCCATGGACTTCTTCAAAAAAATTCATATTATACTAACTTACATGCACACATAGTTTTGAAACTTGAGAAATTTCAATTCATTTTATTTCGAAATTGTAGGGTTTCGTAGTGACCCGACACCACGCGGAAGGAAACCCCCCAAGACCCGCCCCTTAATTAAAGCAATTAACAAGCATAATAAACTTAATCAAACAAGATTAAGAACAAGAATTATACCTTTGCTGCGTGCTTCGCTTTTGAAGAGCTCTTACTTCAAAATCCCAAAACTACGAGATCTCCGACGGATTGTACCCTCGACCCGACCCAAGCGTCTGAAGTCTTGAACGTTAGTCAAGACCCGGACCAAAAAAAAACTATGAGTTTTATGAATCAAAGGTTTACTCTAATTATAAAAGTTGCCTTTTTAATTCCACTCAAGGTTGTGTATTTCCCAATACCATGCCTTTGGTATTTATAGGGAAATGCACCCTTGAACTTCATTCCCCAACCAATGTGGGAGAATGAATAATTAGGCAATTAATTTATATCTAAATTAAATTAATAAATAAATTCAATCACAATGCAACAAGTGTCAAGGGGAGAGAGAAGGTTAGGTAAGGACCATGAAGAGGTGGGGGGGGACCATTGCCTTGCTCCCCAAGGCTTTGCCCAAGCCTTGGTCCCCACCCCTCACAAAACTGCCTCAACCAAAGGGCTGATGGGCTGCTGCCAGCTAGCAGTGCCATCTAGCCCAGCCAGCTAGCACCAGCCCACCCAGCTGCCTTCGCATCCCAGCCAAGCAGTGCATGATTGATGTTGGGCGATGCTTGGCGCTAGTGCGTGCCAGTGCTAGGCGCTGGTGCGTGCTGGCGCTGGCCCTAATATCCCACGCACCACACGCATCCTCGCTGCACCTCTCGCACATGCTCGCATAGCCAGCACGCGTGCTGCTAGCGAGCCATGCATGCTGGCCCCCTTTGCCTCGCACCATACGCATCAGCCTCGTAGCATATGCACTAGTCACGCACCATGCGCACTAGTCACGCACAGCACGCATCAGCCTCGCACTATACGCACACCCACGCATCACCTAGCAGCCTTAGTGCGTAGTGATGCTGGGCTGCTGTGCATGGCCTAGCAATGTGCTGGCGCCCAGGCCCTCGCACACGCATGGTACGTTTCTTGGTGCTGTCATGTGAAGGCTAGCACGCAAGCCAGCACGCATGCTGCGATGGGTTACCTGGTGCGCCTATTGCTGACGATAGGCTGCGAGGTGCTCCTGGTGCGCCTATTGATTGCGATAGGCCATCAATGGTGCGCCTAGGCTGCGATGGTGCGCCTAAGCTGCGCCTAGCCATGCTAAGTGCATGCTAGCTCGAACTAGCCTAGCATCCACATGGCTAGGCCAGTGTGGTGCTAGGGCTATGTTCATACTTGTCGCTTTGTGATTTTGCGACGCTCGGTCTCGACGCCCTAGGCTCGATATTCGAGGTATGTATTCGTAAAACTCTGTCGACTTATTAAATCCTTTCGGATTAATTTGTCGTCTCGGATCGGTGATTCGATTGGGTTCGACCCGAAGGGTACAGTTAAGATTAAGCTGTAATATCAATTGTACCTCGATATTACTGATCGGAAGCGGCCTCCACCTAGGAATTCCGATCACTTGATCTTACTGAAGAATTAACTCTGTAATAATTCTGAACCCTCTATCGAAAGAATACACTTGTTGAAAGGACACCATTCCTTTCAATCTCCCACTTGTCCTTCCGGACAAGTGTGCATACAGTGTATAGCCCATTTCCTATGTCTCTTAATGTTTCTTCGTGAACTATAAGGTAAGATTCATTGTCATCCTTATTACGTTCATAAGTGTTTCTCGATCTCCGAGTTCGACTATCAATAAGCAGATGATTTCTAAAATCCATCTGAGCACGACCATGCATTTTCACAGTCTCGCTCTTCGAGCGGCCTTGTAAACAACAAAACATTTTCCCTATTGTTAATAGGGGGACAATCCCAGTCATGCATTGTAAGTTCCTCTTGCTAAGAGGACGTAGTCTCCCGAGTGTTCCCGTTATGATCCCCAGTTGCGGTAGATGTTAGGAAACATCAAAGGCTCTAGTACTCAAACAAGAAAACTTCACAATACTCATGGTCGGAGGAAACAGGTTCCGATAGTCATAATGAGAAATGTACTTATGACAATTTTGAAATTTCTTAAAGTACTCTCATAGGTCTTATCCAGTACGGTTCCAAACTGTACCTGTGCAAATGATTTATGACTGTCACGTCCTCGCAGCACAAGAAACGGTGCTGTAAATCATACTACACACTAATCAATGGCGGTCATCAATCGTCGATCTGTTAGATGACCTCAATTAGGGATAATTTTCGATTTAAATATTCAATGTTCACTTAACAGGTGTTTCTTTATCCAAGACATGGTCTTGATACCCTGTTTTGAATATTTCCGTAAATCGAATGGACTCATTATTTAATTGTAAAACACAATAAAATAGTAATGGAGTGAATGATAATTTTGCACAAAAATTAATTACTCCATTAATGAATGGTTTCAATACAATGTATTACATTAAAACTACCAGTTTAATTAAAACACATGTACCGGGAATTTCAAATTAGTCTCCAACATGATTGATTCCCATCGCCTCAATGTGCTTGTTGTGTTTCACCTGAGGCAGCGGTTTAGTCAAAGGATCGGCCACATTATCATCTGTGCCAATCTTACAAATTCTGATTTCACCTTCGGATTTCCGTTCCCTTATCATGTGAAATCGCCTTTGCACATGTTTGACCTTCTGGTGTTCTCTCGGCTCCCTGGCCTGAGCGATAGCTCCATTGTTATCACAATAGAGATCTATCGGCTCCTTGATTGAGGGTACAACACCAAGTTCGCTGATGAATTTAAGAATCCAAACAGCTTCCTTGGCAGCTTCTGAAGCGGCCAAGTACTCGGCTTCAGTTGTAGAGTCTGTAGTGGTGCTCGGCTTGGCACTCTTCTAGCTGAACGCTCCTCCATTCAGACAGAATACGTATCCTAATTGAGACTTCGAGTCGTCTCTATCAGTTTGGAAGCTAGCGTCGGTGTAACCTTCAACAACCAGTTCTTTGTGGCCTCCATACACCAGGAATTTATCCTTGTTCCTTTTTCAGGTACTTTAGGATATTCTTGGCCGCAGTCCAATGCGCCTCTCCTGGGTTCGATTGGTATCGGCTCGTTGCACTCAGGGCATACGATACATCTGGCCTTGTACATATCATGGCATACATGATCGATCCGATCAGCGAAGCATATGGGATCTGATTCATTCTTTCTCGCTCAATAGGTGTCTGTGGACACTGTTTCTTGCTGAGAGTTATGCCATGGGACATGGGTAAATGCCCTCTTTTGGCATTCTCCATGTGCAATCGAGCCAGTACCTTATCAATGTAAGTACTCTGGCTTAATCCAATCATCCTCTTAGATCTATCTCTGTAGATCTTGATGCCCAATATGTATTGTGCCTCTCCCAAGTCCTTCATTGAAAAGCACTTTCCGCCCTTTACGGACTCTAGTAATTTTGTGCTGTTTCCAATGAGAAGTATGCCATCGACATACAGGACTAGGAATGCAATATCACACCCACTGACCTTCTTGTATACACAAGATTCA